TTTAGTTATGTAAAAAGTGTTTAAGATTACCCATTTCAACCTAATGAATATTACACAACCGAAGAGTCAAGAAATTACAAAAATGTATAGCATGAGAGAATAATTGTCCAATATCAATGGTATATCCAGACTTAGATTTGAAGCCAACAATAACATTTCTAATGAATAGGTTTACAGGATGGAAACACTTTCATTCATTCTTTCATTATATCCAGCCAAATGATTTACTAAAACAGAAACTAGAATAGTTTAGTAGAATAAGATTTATTGTCAGGGAAATACTCTTCACTGAAATGTTTCAGAAAGGAAACTTTAGTTACAATGCCATTCACCTGGAATAAGTCCAAAATTCACTATGGGAGTGAAGCATTGCTACTAGGAAGAAAACATTGTTATTACTGTCAAACAATGTAAAACTTACAGCAGAGACTTAAAAAATTAGAACTCTTGCATTCTATAAGAAAATGCATAGGAAACATGGCATAAATTTCATTTATTCTTTCTCTACAGATTCATACAAGAGAAATTCAGCTTACCGTATTTTTTGGTGTGTAAGACGCACTTCCCCCCCCCCAAAAAAGTGGGTGGAAATATCTGTGTGTCTTATACAGTGAATGTTGCTGAAGCCCTGCCCACCCACTGGCCCCCACCCTTTGGTCTCTGCCTCCCAGCAATTTGCCTTCTTGCAACAAACAGCAAACAGCCTGGTCAGCCCTCAGCACAGCCCAATTTAGCAAGAGCAGCTGATTGGTGGTTGGATCTGCCTCCCGGAAAACCACCTATCAGCTGTTCCAGGCTGTGGGGATCGCCACCGCCCATCACCACCTATCACTGCTGCCACCTATCCGTGGGGCCAGCCTGGAGCTAGCAAGGGGCCACACCATCCCACCCCCTGGGCGCACGCACAGTAGGCAGTGAGCACGCAGAGCCCGGCATCCCTGAGGACCATCTAGCCCTGCATTCTGAGCATATCCATTTCACCCAGGATACCAGCCACAGCATGCTCACCACTTCCTGTGCACACACCCAGGGGGCTGGGCTGAGGTGGCAGGGCAGCCTCTCGATGGCTCCAGGCCAGCCCTGGGAGTCAGATCAAAGGCTAACTGCATTCCAGTCCAAATGGATACCACCAAGTTATAGATCAGTGCTGCACCCACACCAGTGGCACCATGCCCTGCTCGCTGGCTTGGTCTTGCAGCCCGCAAGGCTTCCCTTTCACCAGGACTGCCCCCCCCCCAACGTGGGAAAGCCACAGCTGCCACCACCACAGCCAATCTCTCCCTCTCCCTCACCCTCATACCTGCTTGAGCATGGAGGAAAGAAGGAGATGGGAATGAGAAGCAGGGAAGGGAGGGAGGGTGGGAGGAAGGAAGGAAGGAAGATGGGAATGAGAGGGAGGGAAGGAAGGAAGGAAGATGAGGATGAGAGGGTGGGAAGGAAGGAAGGAAGGAAGGAAGGAAGGAAGGAAGGAAGGAAGGAAGGAAGGAAGGAAGATTATGACAGTAGTGAGGGAGGGAGGGTCTGAGAGAAGCCCTGCTTTAGCACTTGGCCACCAGCAGCCATACTGCCCTTTCATCATCCCCTTGCCCCCTCCTCTCCTGGTGGTCTCCCATCCTATAGCTGAGGATGCTTTGGTTACAAAGGTGGGTCTTCTCACAAGGAGAGGGAGTGTGCCTCTGATCCACACATTTTGCCCTCCTTCACACACCTGGGCAAGGAGAGCAAGCACAGCAGCAGTAGCCTCAAGGAGGAGTTAAGTGCAGATGGGCACCCCATCAGGAAAGCAGGGCTGGACTGTGGGATCACAGTGTCCTGGAAGCTGAAGGGCAAGGTTGGGCACTTGCCCCCACTGCCCAGGGCTCTGGGCAGCACACTGCCATCAGAGGGGTCCTTCATGTGGCCTGAGAGGGACAGCAAGGCTCCTCCGGTGGACAAGAGTTTGGCACTCACCTTGGTCTCACCTTCCTCCACTGGAGACAATGGATCCCCCCAGCCCTACCCAGCCACTACAGGCGCGCACACACACACACACACACACACACACACACACCCCCGATGCGAGCAATATTGAGCTGGCCATGCCTACCCCAGCCATGCCCACCCAATCAGCTGTGACCACCCAGCCACAGCCACATCCCCCACCCCACAGAGGTCAACCACAACCCTGATGTTGCCCTCAATGAAATTGAGTTTGACACGCCTGCATTAAAGGCTCATACTGATCTATTTTAGGCACCTATCAAATACTAAGTGGCCTTCCTCACTATTCCCTATCATTTTTTTTATTTCATTCTAGATTTAATTTTTTAATTTTATTCTAGTCTAAAATGCTTTCGCATTTTGTGAAGCTTCACAGTACCTTGCATCTACTTTGGAGGCATAATTTAATATTCAGCAATACATTTCATAACCAAATATTGGTTTCCAATCCTTCCCTTTACTATAAAACAGAAGCACCTTGTTATGAAGCACATAAGATGGAACTGACCTTAACCACACATAAATCAATATAATAAATATTAAAGTTTAAAGCTTTTACAAAACATTTGAAAAATGAAAGCAGTTTTAAAAATGAAAAATGGAATCATGAAATGAAAAAATGTTTTAAAAAGTTAAACCCTCATTATATTCAACCAGATGCCTTTTTAGGTATAATTATGAATGGCTTATTTTTGGCACTTACCAAAATTATGTTAACCCAAACATCCAATTCAAAAGTATAAATTAAATTGCCTTTCTTTGTTGCATCTTGAGTAGGCTAAATATACGCAAATCTTATAGGATTTTTCTCCCTCCCTCCCTCCTTCTCTCTCTCTCCAAGTATATAAATATGTATGTGTATGTGTATGTGTATATGTATGTGTGTGTATATATATATATAAATATATATATATATATAAAATCTTTTGATGTAGTTAAGCTTGCTTCAGCTAGCTTTTAATGATGAATATTGTTTTAGAAATTAAATGACATGATTTGAATGGTATTTTCTATGAAAATTTAATATTTTATATTAATTTTATATTTTATTCAAAAGGTATTAAATCCTACTGATATTCTGAAATCACTGGTCACAAAAGCAAGTATTAGAAAGAATAAAAAAAAGCAAATGCCAAAAAAAAAGCAAATGCATCATTCTCCATAGCTACTATGTTAGTCACTTCCACAGTTTCCAATCAGGCCAAGTCTACGCAGTTTTCTTGTTTGGAAGTTTGCCACTGCCTTCTTCCTAGGGCTGACAAAAAGTGACTCTTTCAGTCATCCAACTGGTTTCATGGCTAAGGTAGGACTACAACCCAATGGTTTCCAAGTTTCTAGCCTAGTGCCTTGAGCCACTAATTTAATATTTGCTACTATGGTTACAAAGCAGCCAGATACAATTTAGCAGTATTTAATGTTGCCTACAATTAACCATGAACAAATATACATTTCAGCTGTTTCATTGAAGTGGTAAGAAATGGAATCACTTTCCTAATTTCATGTCAAATAAAGCAAAATATTTGGGCTAATTAGCTATGCAATTACTACCCTCATTAATAAGGGTTGCAATGGCCTGGGATCAATGCTTCAGTTATTAAAAGGCCATGCTGGTTGCAATTGGTGGAACAGTTTCTGGTTGATGTAATAAAACAGAAAAAAATGGAATTAGTGGAAAAGTTTTAGAGATTCAAAATAAAGAAAGCTGACTGATATAGATGTTAAAAGAAAGATTATGCCACTATTGGAAGTGGAGGAATGTCAGCTGGGATAAAAGTTAAAACAGGACAGTTGCTGAAAGTGAGTCACAGTGAGTCAGTTGTTGCTTCACAAGTAGAGTGAAATGACAGTCTGGCTTCTTTTCAAGCTACAAGTGCATCAACAGAATGACTGACTGCAAAGGAAAACAAGTGGTATATTCAACAGTAGCAAAGTAAATTGTTCCATGTAAGGTTCTAATGGATGCCATACAGATTATGCAGAATATTCCATGAGTTCATAGGAACATACCTAGAGAAATTAATCCCACACAGCACTTCTTTATGTTAACACTAAGCACCTGCCTCCAAAATCTGTGATGCCACTAAACTTCCAATCCAACGCTGTCCCCACAATATTCAAGAACATTGTTTTTTGGTTGTCACAACCATGTTGATAGTCGTTTCGGCTTCTTGCTAGGTCATGCACTGGATTCACTGTTCCCCTACAGGAACAGTGCCATTGGAATGCTGCCATTTCAGCCCCTTTCCTCAAGAGGCACTGCTGTGTCCTGGTACCAGGTTTCTATTATCTCCCAAGTCCGCCTCCTCCTCCTCCATCCCACCTAAAGAATTATTTTATCGTTGTGCAATGTGGTTCTGCCTATTGGCTTTAGGGATTGGTCGTTCTCCCATTGCTTACATCGCCCCATCAACTGTAAGACCCCTTACAAATATTCCCACAATTATTTCTTCCCTGTCTTTAGAACGCAACACTGCATTCTTTTTCATCCCCATTATTTCCGAACAGTTTTTGCAGGATTCGACTATGCCTTCGTGAAAAGTTTTAATAATCCAGCCAATTTAACTGCTAGATCACTGCCTAACAAGGCGCGGCAACGGCAGAGAATTGCTGAGTGGGGGAGTCCCATATTGTGTTCTCGAGTAAAATAAGAGACATAAGAAAAAGTGCAGAAAGGAAATCTTAAAATGTTGGGAGGGCTCCGCTCAGTTTCCTGCGACGTGCCTGTCTATCTGTCGTGGGCGCCCAAAGAAAGGGGGGGGGGGGCGGCTAACTAAGCAAAATCGAATGCAATGCACTTCGCCCAGAGCAGAGCGCTCTCCTGCACTCTGCCTTCTGCTTATAATCTAACGCCGAGAAAACCCACGAGGACTTGCTCCGCACACTACCGAATGATAACAAACACGTAACAGGTATGGCGAGAAAAAATAATTAGAAGCCAAAGACTAGTAGCAGGGAAACGATAACCACAAGCCACCCTCTCGGCAACAGGCGAAACCCCGCCGTCTAGGCTCTCTCTTTACCTTTCATCCAATCCACCACTTGATTCGGCGTCCATTTACTGACAGGTTCCATAATGAGCGCCATAGGGGGAGGGGGGACTACGAGAAGGGCGATGGAAGCAAGCAGAGTCCGGTGGGCTCGAAGGGTGGTGGGCGTTGAATTCAGTTTCCAGTGTTTACAAGACTTCGTCGCGTTTGTGAAATGCGCCTCGAAACAGCCTTCTTCTCCAGGCTCCTCTGCCTGCCTCCGTGGGCGCGCGGTGCGCGTGGATGAGTGTGTGCCTCTGGAGCTTTCCGTTCCTGTTGGTGCTTCAGCGGGAGCCGGAGAAAGCGGCTGCTGCACGCTCCGCCGCCTACAGCCTGCCGCGCCCCCACCCGCGACCTGCAGAGCCAGGATGCTGGAAATGGGTCCTGGCGCTGCTCCGACCGAGGCTGTGGGAGCTGAAGGCTCACGAGGTTTAACCACCCCGCGGCGCAGCCCGCAGCTCGCGTCCGGCTTCCTTCGCGCCTTTTTCTCCCTGCAATGAGCGACCCCCCGAGGCTATTCCCTAGTCAGCTTTCCCTCCGGAGCTGCACGCTTGTCGCACGTTCTCTGCTCCCCTCCCCCTCCACAGCGCCCACCTTTCCCCCACTGGCGGAAATGACGAGGATTGGAGCCGAAAATATCTGAAGCCAAGCGGCCCCTCTTGTGCTCTTTGGGGAGCGGGTCGCCCGTGTGATTTGCGAGCGGCAGCCTTTCAAAGGAAGAGAGGCATGACTAGAAAAGCGCCCCTCTCCCGTCGCCGCGTGGAGAAAGCAGTCGGCGAGAGAGGGGCGCTTTTCTAACCATGCCTCTCTTCCTTTGAAAGGCTGCCGCTCCCCAAGGAGCACAAGCTCCCTGCCGTATTTGAGTGGTGGGGAGGGAAAAAGATCCCCCGACTGAGCGAAAGCTTCTGATCAAAAACTGTTCAGAAGCTGTGGCGATAGGTTCAGCACCTGTTTCGTTACATTTGACGGAGCGAGGCAACTACTTAGCCCCGGTTTTTCCTGACTGCTGCTCTTCCGGAGAGAAAGAAGGGGATCGGCTTGCTGCCGGCGGATTGGGGATTGTGGTCTTTTTAAACTTGTCACTGAGAATGTGGTGTATGTTTGTTTGTGTTTATATATATAGCTAGAATCAACTGTTTTGAAAGAATCAACTGTTTTCCCATGCTCAGAATGACTCAGACTTTAAACAAATGGTGTCTTTCAACGGTTCTGATGCGAGAAGCCATATCTTTCGCCATTATTGAGGACTCCCTTTTCAGGAGACTAGTGGCTCTCAGGGCAGACCCTATTGCTAAAATTCAACAGTAGATATTCCCATTGATGCTATATGGATTCGCCAAATTCTTGAAAGTCGGCAGATTTCATTACATACTAAATTCCTGATTGTAAGTGCATGAGCACTGATGTTAACTTCCAAAAGTGAATTCACAGGATCAAAAGTGGAGGGAAAAGATGCGGCATGAAAGAGGTGGAACAAGGATGAGATCTTGAAGAATGCAATCTTAATTATCTGCCATAACTTGCAAATAAAAGTTTGGGATGAATAAAGATGAAATGCTACATTGGCTTACAAGGAATGTATTTGTTCAGTGGAGAAGGAGAAAGAGATGAGTGCAGAAAGAATAACTAAGACTAGAAGGGAAAAAAATAATTGAAGAAAAAGGAACAACACATATAGGATCATAATAATTAAAGGTCTTCAGATTATTATACCAAGATTTATACTGAAAAACAAGTTTATCTGAATTCTTCATGATGCCATGCTCATTTCTTCCCTGTATATGACTTGCAGCTTTTTTAGGACTCCTCTACCAAGTAGCCTCAAAATGCGTTCCTCTATTAAGCTAGAGATGTAATCCTGGGCTTAATCATTACCTTTTATTATCACCATTCAGAATCAGGTTTTCCAAAAGTCAGAATATTAAATATGATAGTAGCAAAATAGCTAAAATCTCTTGTGATTAAAACTGCACTCTTTCATATAGTAAACACAGCAGAACTTACTCATGAGTAAATAAGCAGAGAGTTCACCTTCATATCCTATTGAAGCAATAAAAGTTTCAAACTGCATCAGTTTAAATTGATTGGAACATAATCTATATGTATTTGTATATTAATGCTAGTGAATTTTGTGTTTTTCTATTATGTAAATTTACCTTACAATAAACAAATGTTCCAGGGCTGTGTGTCACAGCTGGATCCCCATTGGCACCATGGCCACCCAGGCCCAGCCAGGATCGCATGCCATGGTGCTGATGGAGATCCAGATTTTGAACCTAGGAATATTTATTATTCTGTTTTAATTCAAAATCCACATATCAAATTCTTGTAAACTGGCATGATTTACAGTTTGCTTTCAAATTTCATGCTCGATGTTTGCAGTTGTATTTGTCTTTTCCCATGCTAGATTATGAGAATTCTGTTTCTCAAAATCTAATTCCAAATATAAGCATCAATTCACACTTTATGATTTGAACTGGGTTTGGACTGGCTCAAACTCAATAGCAATAGCACTTAGACTTATATACTGCTTCGCAGTGCTTTACAGCCCTCTCTAAGTGGTTTACAAAGTTAGCATATTGCCCCCAAAAATCTGGATCCTCATTTTACCCACCTCGGAAGCATAGAAGGCTGAGTCAACCTTGAGCCTCGTGAGATTCGTTCTGCCAAACTGTTGGCAGCCGGTGATCAGCAGAAGTAGCCTGCAGTACTGTATTCTATCCATTGCACCACCATGGCTCTTCATAGCATTTTATCATGTTTAATATGTATCCATGTATTATACCCATGATGGTGAAACTATGGCACAAGTGCCAGAGGTGGCACGCAGAACTCTCTGCCAGCTGTTCTTCTGATTTCTGCCAGCCGGAATGCCGGAAAATGGCCTGAAAACAACCAAAAAACTAGGCCATTTTCTGTGCCATTTTCCAGGCTGCTTTGAGGCCGTTTTCTGGACTTAAAATGGCCTGAAAAATGGCCAAAAAACAGGCATGCATGTACCGGGCAGCTGGTCTTTGGGTTTCCGGTGCTCCAGCATGTGCGAAGACCACCCAGGCTGTGTCCAGCAGCTGAGGCTCTGCAGCAGGCATGACAGGTTCGGCACCAGCAGCAGGCAGAGTCGGGGGAGGCACATCATGTGGACCATTGGATGCACCTGCTGCATCCCACATGGCTGGGAAGGGGCAGGCAGATGCCTGCCGCATCCAACAGGCCAGACTGCATGTCTCCCCCCTGGGCCTCTGCCTCCAGCTACTGCCACTGCCATGGGCTGAAACAAAGTAAAGCAAGGGGTGGGGCAGCTGCTGCCCCACCTAATCTGTCCCAGATTTTTTTGCTTGCGGTTGGAGAACAGATCACTACTAGTCATCTTGGCCTCCTCATGGGTCTGGCCCTTGGCCCATGCTGGAGTGTGTTCCTCTCATACACCTGATGCACCTTGGCACCACTGTGGGCCACTGCCACCACCAAGGCAACCAGCAGCTCAAGCAGCCAGCTAGAAAGCCCAAGTAGAGGTGGTAGAGTATGCCCAGGCCCAGCAGGTAAAAAAAACAGCCAACCTGAGCGGGGATAGCCAGATCCCCATTGACGCCATGGCCGCCCAGGCCCAGTTAGGATTGCATGCCTCCCCCCCCCCACATCTCTGCTGGGCCTGGGCGACCATGGCAGTGATGGAGATCCAGATTTCCCTGCTCGGAGTGGCTGTCCTTTACCTGCTGGGCCTGGGCATGCTCTACAACCTACACTTTTATGTACAGGATTGGATATAGCTGAACAGGAAAATATATTACAAATATACACTTCTATTGAGGCAACTATGGATGGAATATATGCAACATCTTTGAAACGGAAAGACTTTCTTAAATGAAAAAAATCCCACAGGCAAATAAACTTATTTCTATATATTATTTGTTAACTAAGTTTTTTAAAAAGCTATATTATGAAAAATATTAATTTCATTTTTTTACAAAATAAAGTATTAACCTCATTTGTGAATTCCTTTTCTTTTTTACAAATCAAGTGCTCTTAATTTAGTATATCATTCAGTTTTGTGATATAAATAGTTTTATTTTAAGATTTAGAAAAATAAAGCAAAGGTCAAATGTTGGTATGTAGTTAACCTTGTCCAAACTTTGATAAGCCTAACTAGGATTTCAATGGGTTTCAGCACGGGTGACTCTATATAATACTATTTGCTAATGCTACAAGTATACTTGTAGGAACAAAATGTAAGCACTGTTCTGAATAAAATTTATAAATTTTCAGGTACAGTTTTCCATAATTTCCCTAATGATAAATAAAATACATCTTCATGAAAATAGAGAAAGAGTAACAAAGCAAACATTTTTAGGATTATGTTAAGGAATTCGCAGAGCAACCTTTGAGTAGCAAGGGTATGCACATGAAAGCGATTGAGAGTAGTTACTAAATAACACAGCCAACACACAGATACACTGAGTTGTGTTTACTTTCAGGAAATAGTAATAAGGCACAGTCCAATAAACAGTCCAGGTCATTCACATATAAAGCAGTAGATGGTTAAACAATAGTCCAGGGATAATCCAATAACAAAGTCTTCTTACCAGTCGTTGTAGTCATACACAATAAACAGTTATTCTATATTTGCAAACAGTAGCAAACACAGCTAAGAAGTAAAGAGCACACAGCAAAACAGCAAAGAGCATCAAAGAGACAGTAAAGGGAATCAAACTAGGTTTCAAGCTCCCTTTTAAAGATATTGGCTACAGAGCTAACCAATCAGGACACAGTATGATGCAATACAGCAATACAGCAGTCTTAAAAGCTATATTGATGGTTTATATATTGCCAACCCAACAAATTAGGTAATAATTATTTCCTAACAGATTACATTAATTTATTTGAAGATAATGGTAATAACATTCATCAAGGAAAAACAAGATTAGTCATGCATCTATAACAGGTGGGGAACTGTGGCCCCTTTATGACTTGTGGACTTCAACTCCAAGCATGGCTGGCTCAGGAATTCTGGTAGTTGATGTCCACAAGTCATAAAAGGGCTATAATTCCTCACCCTGATCTATAAGCTTATCCTCCAATTTAACCGGGCTGGCTTGATCCCATAGCTTTGGTTAATTTTAACTGATTTTAATTGGGTGTTTTAAATTGTGGCAAAAAATATTTAATTATTTTTAAACTGTTTTTAAATTTTGTGTGTTCTGTTTTATTCTGGCTGTTCACCGCCCTGAGTCCTGCAGGAGAAGGGCAGTATACAAATTAAAATAAATAAATAAATAAATAAACCAATGCAGTTCAGGCAGCAAATTTCATACATACAGGTTATCTGAGGAACCATCTGAGGACCCCAATAGAACTACCCCGTCCCAACTCACAGCAGCAGAAGAGGCCTTCTGCAGACCCCATCTGGTAAGGAATTTCCACTGTGGCCTTGATCCTGTGGAACCCTCTCCCACCAGGTTAGGTATATTTATATATGCCCAATTAAAGAGCACCTTTATCCACATCACAGTTTATTGTCCATGTTCACGCAGCAAGCATAGCCTGATTACTGAGTTAAGCTATTTACTGAGTTAAACTGAGTGGCTTTGGGGTGGAGTTCCATCAGTACGCTGATGATACTCAGCTGTACATCTCCACCCCGGGCCATCCCAACGATGCCCTTGAAGTGATGTCCCAGTGCCTGGAGGCCGTGCGG